CCCTCCCCCCACATTGCCTTTCAAGTTGTGGGAGTAAGAGGACATCGAATGGTGGGGGCGTGGGACACAGAGTGGTGTGGTGGGTGAGTAAGTGGATATTGAATGGTGGGGGTAGAGGGTAGGGAACAGTTTAGAAAAGTTTTGCTGCAGTTAAAATAAGTTCGTGTGAAGGTTGTATATTAAAAATGATGATATTTTCTACTGACCACTCCCTCCTTCATCATCATCTTCTATGACATTATAACGAGCGAAGTCATTCTTCAACACTTTCATCTGAAATGTTCAATCATATATGGATCAATTTCGGTATGCACGTCCTCCAGTCGATATAGGCTAAATGTATATACCATGCCACAGAATAGAGACCATGCATAAACCCAACTCACCCCCCAAAAAAGCGTCGTAACCGCTTACACGCAATGATTCGTCTTCAAAATGCACTCGTCATGTTTCTAGCCAGTGCCCCTATGAGAGATATTCACCCCCCTCTCAACTTCCGCCATTTTGATTATTTTCAGGGGGTAAATGTCCCTCACAAGCGCACTGGCTGGGGACGCTGGCTAGGAACATCGAATCACAATGCTCGACAGTTTATTTTAAAGATGCAATCATTCGTAGCGAGCTTGCAAGTTGATTTTTGCTATGAGTGGAAAAGAGCCTTAAATCGATATGGCAATATAAATTAAGTCTGTCTTATTTGAAAGAACATTTAAAATGATATATAAATCGACTTATTTTGATCAAAAGCAGCGTGCATTCCGCCATCTTGGATATGCATTCGATATGCAAGAGACAAGTCACAAGTACAAGATACACAAGACACAAGTCGGATAAAAAGCAAAATTTTATTTTCCAAACCACATGTCATTATCAATATGAAACTCGATTTTCCGAAGTCTTTTTAGTACTCAATTAACTCACAACGTTTTTAGCAATAATTTAGCACCACATGAAGACGTTTTAACAGCTTTACCCTGCTTGTGACGTCATAAAAAACTCAGTTAATAAGGTCAATAATAACACCAAGATGGCCGACTGCAACACCCTACACGACTTCCAAAGTGTTTAACTGTGGGCGTGGTTATGGGCCGTAAAACGATATAAATAACATAGCAATTTGAACAACTACGGCGTACTAGAATGCTCAAGGGAACACATCTTACAGTCGCCTTTGAAAATTCTATCGTCGATGCGGTTGTATTTGCCAAATTCACTATTATAACCTACATGCACTATTTGACATCGCCACTACGGTACTACCAACTCGAACGTAACCGGAAGCCTAACTCTAATATATACCATAGTCGTAAAAAGGAATCCTAACCAGATTTAAACTATTGCACAGTTAAAGACATTATCGAAGTTCAGATTTGACTTCTACTACCTCCCACTGGCTTAGGACGCATCCGATTGGTTAATCGGATTTATAATATAGCATTTGTAAATTCTGAACGCTGATTGGCTAAGAGCCGTGTTGATACAACTCCATGTCAACACGGGAAATTTTTCCGCCGCTTGTAAACACGGAAATTTTTCTTATTCTTCGGGCTTTTGACATTGCTATATTATAAAACAAATATAAAACATTTTTTCCGTATTGATATATAGTTATATCAACACTCGTGGAAGTTGGGAAAACTCGAAATTGTGTGAAAACACTCCGCCCTTCGGGCATCGTGTTTCCACACAATTTCTCGTTTTCCCAATTTCCACTCGTGTTGATATAACTGTATATCAACACGGAAAATGTTTTATATTTGTTAAATATCAAACGCATCCGATTGGTTAATTGGATATATCAAACGCATCTGATTGGTTAATGGTCTCTTAATGGTAGCGGTAATAAAATCTGAAAACACTTTACTAACCAAGATTATGACGACAAAGCCAATCAGTAGAAAGACAAGAACAGCAGAGTTGATGATCGACAACCAGTGAATCTAGAAATGATAGGGGATAAGCAAGAATAATGTAAAATATAGTTTTCACTTGACATTTTAAATACAATCGCGCCCCTATTAAGCGGGCACCTTCAGGACCTCAACAATAGGGAGCTTAAGCATGTAGGACCGCAATACAATACACACTGTATCATTCATTGTATTGGTTGCCGATACACACAACGGCAACCAATACAATGAGTCAATGAAAAGAAATAAATAATTAAAGTCCCAGGGGAGTTTCAGACGTGGTCGTCCTATTTACAACGGCAAATCGCAAAATTTTCACGTCTTTCATATACAACGCCTGCATTTCAAACCGTAACAAGTGCAACTTAAAATTCGGTCAGTAGAGCTCTTCCCAAACATAAAGCCAAGGTTTTGAGCTTCTTATACTGTATTAAATTCATACGAATTATAATATACGACAAGTCTTCTTTACTATCATTTATTTCTAATTTTTTTTATTTTTTTTTCTGTGTTGGTGTTGTGTACTCAGGTGAATAATATGTTTGCGATGTTACTCTGAGTGCATATCCACACCGGGCGAGCTTGAAAAATATGCCCGGCCACGGTGGGATTCGAACCTACGACCTTTGGAATACTACCCCAATGCTCTTCCAACTGAGCTACGCGGTCAGGACGGTTCGAGTAAGTGATATTTCGGAACAGTATCTAGTTCCTTCAATACCAATGTGTTCTAGTAATATGATTTTTTTTTTTTCTGTGTTGGTGTTGTGTACTCAGG